ATCACTCACCCCACCCCTTGTCTTCGTTTTTTCAAACCCACGATCCTTCTGGTTGTAGTGTATGAAAATATTTGTGGCAAATTTTATTTTTCTTCTTTGCTGTCCTCTTTACCTCCCTTATCCCCCAACCCTTCTCTGTGTCTTTCTCCTCAGGAACAAAGAACTTGGGGAAATCTGTGATTGTCCAAAATCATCTGCATTGGGAAGAGGTGGGGAGGGAGAACTGGGGAGGCTAACAACAAGAAAAAAAAAAAAAAACACTTAAAACTCACAAAACCAGGCAGTCAAACCAGGATAGTGTTGAATTGTTTCTTTCCCTCTACTTTAATTTTGTAGTAGGTTTTCTGCTATCCTTTTGCTGATTTATTCTTTGGTGCCTTTCTATTTTTATTTCTCTCCCCAGTCTAACTACTTTTTATTTCTTCTGTTCATCTGTTTGAAGCTCTCTGAGTAGCTGCCTTCACCTCTATGGTTTTAAGTTTGTGTCTGCCCAGCCTCTTCCCTCACTGTGACTTAGTGTCATCCTGTTCTGTGATGGGAATGTTGCCATGAGTGTGGTGTGGTGATGTGTTTTGGTTGTTGGGTGGCATGTAAGCTTGGATATTTCCATAGTTCTAGCTCTTTTTCTTTTCTAAAACAGTGGCATGTGCTTCTCTGATAACAGCCCTCTACTGCAGCAGTATTACTCCTCACTGGTCCTGCCCAGCTAGTCTCCTATTCTCTTAAAAGCAGCAGCCTGAGATTTCCTCCTTATGTCTTGCTGTTAGGAGCCAGGTGACTCTAAGCTGCAAAGTATTTTTTAAAACCCCATCATGCTGTTTCAAAATCAGAGTTGGATCTGTTGACAGATAGTTTGACTCTGATGACTGACTGTTGGCACAGCAGTCACTGCCACACTATCATTCCAGAGGCTGGCAACCCCAGAAATAGTTTGGAAGCCATTCACACTGGCCTTTCTTGTGTCTTAAAAAAGGAAACTAAATTCCAACCCTGTTCCTCTGTGTGGTAACAGTGAGCTGAGCAGTTGGCTCAGAATCCTCCCCTTCGTCTGTAGTAGCAGGTACAAGTAAAACATCAGACACAGGAGCTTTTGTGGCCACCTCTTTCTGGATAGTGTCTTGCTGCTTGTATGGTGGGAAGGAGAGGGAGGGAGAAGCCACCACAGAGCCAGTGCTTCTGGCCAGAAAGAGTTCTAGCCCATATCTGTCCTTATTATAGTTGAGGAAGCATTCTCCATTTAATGGAAAGATCTTCTGGGTTTTTCACCTTCTTGTCAAGGACTCAGTAGGAGTCCCTAGAGCCAGTTCAGGCTTAAAGAACTGATTGATTTAGAGAGTAAATAAAAATAGTAAATTACATTTATGAGGATATTGGTAATAACACAGGAGGTAATCTGACATGGGCCTTGAATCTATATATTTCTATGGAAAATAGCAAGTTACTTGTCTGTTCTTTATAGCAACTCAGAAGATGCCTATGAAGAGGACTTAGAGTAGAGTTAGAGGCTGCTGCAGTTGGCACTGTTGAATTTGAGAACCTGCTTCTGGAAAGGGAAAAAGAAAACCTTGTCTATGTGAAAATGGGGAACATTAACCCAGTGATTTTTCTTTTATTTAACGATTTTTTCCCTTGCACGCCTCCTTCTCCTGCCCCCTTGCTCCTTTCCTTGTAAAAGCAGAATTACCCAAACGGCCACAAAGCTCTGCAGAAGTTTGTAGGCATGGACTGGGCTGGGCATTTGGTACTTGTACTTGCAGGAGCCTGACTCAGGTAGACTCATAGTTAAAAGGTCATGCCTTGGGTCTAGAAGAAGATGCGGCTTGGGGGTACCTACCTCTCAATCTTGAGAGTATACAGCAGTCTCCCAGTTTACTTAGAAATAAGCTTCCTAACTTTGGGGTGTCTGCATGTGGTTGAAACAAACCCTGGCTAGTTCAGACTCTCCCCAGACCTCCCCGTCAATCAGTTGACGCTAGTTAACTGTTTTAGAGAGCCAGGCTTCTTTTTTTTTCCAACACCTTGAACGCCACTCTAATTGGATTTTTTTATGATTTCAGCGCCCTCAAGGACATTTGTCTCCAAGGGGAAGTTGAAATTTTCTATCTAAGAATGACCTCCTGGGCTTCCCTGGTGGCGCAGTGGTTGAGAGTCCGCCTGCCGTTGCAGGGGACACGGGTTCGTGCCCCGGTCCGGGAAGATCCCACATGCTGTGGAGCGGCTAGGCCCGTGAGCCGTGGCCGCTGAGCCTGTGCGTCCGGAGCCTGTGCTCCGCAACGGGAGAGGCCACAACAGTGAGAGGCCCGCGTACCGCAAAAAAAAAAATGACCTCCTGGCAGTAATGTAAGGCAGGAAGAGAAGCGTGCCCAGTTTTTAGGTTCTCTCTCTGTCCATAGCATGTTCTACATATGAATGATGGCTAGGGTAAGTAAGGGTCTCCTAACCAGTGCTTCTAAATAGGAGTAAGTGGCAGGTAAGAATTTTTCAGCTTCTCCTAAATGTTCATCTCTCTTGGACTATCATGGGCAATGCTCGACCACCAGTGTTCGATCAGAAATAAACCCCCCCCACCTTCATCCTGGTGCAGAATGCAGATGTGGCACCGAGGCCAAGGACCTTGGTCTAGCACTGGTTTCCGTATACGGCAATTACAGGAGGAAGGTTACCCCACCCCACAGCCCTCCTATGGTGCAGAATCATATTTAAACCTATTAAAATTATTGACTTGCTCCCAGCTGACTCTCTCCTGGATCTTAAGGGAAAAAGTGCTTTCCTTTGCCTTCTGAGAATTCTTGGCAGAAAGTCTACCAGGTTGCTTTCATCACCTTCTTAATCTCACTGAGCTGCAGTGGTCATTTGCATCACCACAGGTAAGAGTAGCATTTGCTTTGGCCTCGTAATTTAAGCATCTGGAAGCTCTTGGCCTCAGAGTTTACCCTTTCTCAGTGCAGTCTGAGAGGAAGAACCAGAAGGCGAGTCCCAAATGGGACAGAAAATAAAATTGAATAATAAAAATTCAGTAAAAACCTAAAAGTGTGTTTGGGTTTTAATGTTGCCTTTATATTTTTTTAATTTCTGTGGAGTACTGGTTCTCTCTTTTTATCGCTTTTGTTTTTGCTTGGTTTTGATTTTCCTGAAATTGTGGTGCTTTCTGCCGATGGTGTGTGTGCGCCTTCCATTGCAGGGTTTGCAGCTGTTCTGCTCGACTTAAGGCCCAGGGATTTGGCTTCTGTCCAGTGTGTTTTGGAAATCATGGGACACCACTGCGCTAATGTTTACATGCATCTGCTTCTGTCTTAGTAGCTGCTATGCCTCCATTATCTGTACATAGAGACCCTGTTTGATGTTACGGATAAGGACCAGTGCTGAATGAAAGATAACCACTATCCTTTTGCCAGAGTTGGAAAATAATTAGAACGAATTTACTTGAGCAAACTTGAGGATTTGCTTTATTTATCACAAGTTTCTTTGACGATATGAACTCTACAATGTTACACTGATTAGGAGGTGCTTGGGCATTACATTTTTCAAGTGTCCCATGACGTCTCCGTCCTCTCCTGCTTCCTGCACAATGAACAAAGCTTAGTTCCAGTGAAGGGAGAGAGTTTTGTCTTCAAGAGTTAAGAGTCAGCACTATACTTTATAAAATGTTGTCAGGGAGCTGCTACAGACTTGTAGACAGGAAGTAGCCAGGTTCAGGGAAATGGGAAGTTAGTCAAGGATTTCTGAGAAAGAATTGGAAAAAAAGTAAAAGAGCAAATACCTCTGATTGTGGATTGGAAAAGATGGCTAGTTTAGACTTTACCTGAAAATGTTTGACCAAGAGTAGAAAAAGAACTAACCATGGGAAATGATTAAAGATAAATAACGACAAAAGACAATAAACAAACTTCAAGACTTTAATATAGTGATGGAATTCAAAGTGCTGTATGAACCTTCCAGTAACGGTATTGATATAGTGTGCCTTAAAAAATTTCTGCTCAATGTGTTATAATATTTGACTCAAATAGGTTATTTTTGTAGATACCAAATGAGTGATCCCAGGTTATCTAAGCCCAGGTAGAACCAGAAGATGAAGTATATAACTTGCCCTAGGGTGGAAGGTGTATGGGGATGTTTTTGGGTTGGAGGAGGAGGGGTAAAAAATTCGGTCAGATGTGTTTTCTAGGCCCAGCTTTGTCACTAATGATAATTATGGCCTTTCACAAGTCATTGTACCTTTCTAGCTCTTAAAGAGTGGGATTCATTGAACTCTTAAGGGCCTTTCAGCTCTAAAATTCTAGGAGCCCATCATACCAACATATACCACATTCTAGTTATGATTATCTTAGAATGGAAAGTGTTTTAAAGTGCAATTCTGAAAAAATTTTGTCTTTGGAGTAAAATATGGGCTGGAGAGAAGAACTTATGGTTCCTTAACAGTTTTCTCTCGGCAAAATTTGGAAAATGCAATAGACTTTCAATAGGAAATTTGCTTTTAGGATCTACATTGTCTTTTTCTGCATAATTAATGGCCAGGCTGTTTTGCCATAGATTTATCAGATTTAAATGTGGGAAAAGCCATATATGCCTAATTATAACTATTACTGTTTCAAGGCAGGAAGTTTATTAGTTATCTAAATGATATTGCCTATTGCCTTTGTCTTCAGAGCTGCAAAGTGGAGCCTGATTTTCTAATTGAAGCCGAATTGGTTGGTGGTTCTTATCTCATAAAATGGTGGTATTCAAAAGCGTACTGTTGCCAGTGCAAGCATCCATAATACTCCCATTCTTTTCACGTCTAGGCCAACTGGTCTTCAGGCTGTTGTCTGCGCTAGTGGTCATTTGCTTATAATCATTGTTTTTCCTTTCTTGACTTCCTCCAAAGTGGCAAAGTGAAATTCCTCATGTGGTCCTGTCTGCCCTCCCTCTTCTAGTCTCCCCAACCTACCCCATCCAACTCTCAGGCCAGGGCTGCAGAGCATGGAACTGTGGCTCCCTATCATTGTGCACTCTTATTACAGAGCCAAGGATTGTCACCAGTGAAGAAGTCATTATTCGAGAAAGCCCTGCGCCCCCTGTCACCCTGCAGTGTAACCTCACCTCCAACTCTCACACCCTTACATACAGCTACTGGACAAAGAATGGGGTAGAACTGACTGCCACTCGTAAGAATGCCAGCAACATGGAATACAGGTGAGAGGGGCTAGCAACTCCTGGGAAGATGGGAGGGAACATGGTTGAGTTTACTTGACATTCATAATCTGTAATTATGCTATGTGGGAGAGACATGGTCCTCCCCTGGAGACTCTAATCCAGTGTATCTGGGGTGAGGCCCAGGAATCTAGAAAGGATTTCTAATGAGTGGCCAGGTTTGAGAGCCGTAGAAGATCCCTTCACTATGATGATAGAGCAACTGAGGGCATCGGGAGTGATTTGCTTAGGGTAACAATGCTAGTCAATAAAAAAGCCACAATTAGAATGCAGGTCTCTTGACTAAATCCAGTGGTTTGAGGAATCAGATTGAAATCTGATCTAGGACTCTTAGAGCAATATCACCCTAAGTGATATTTCCACTGAGTAGATTTCCTAGTGAATTACCTTTTAGGAGTGTTTATTATGACCATAACCTGATCAGGACCAGTGGATACAGAGCTCATTACTGATCTGGAAAAGGATGGTAGCCTGGAAATACCCTTTAATGAAAGGGGGATATTTGCTGGCAGAAGTTACCCAGCACCTGAAGATTTGGTACTTTTTTGGAATATCTAGAACACCTGGTACCTCACCTTTCAGAATAGTTTGTTCCTAGTTGAAAAGGGTCAGCTAATCCTATTTGGCAGGATGATGCAGTGCAAAGAAAGAGTGCACTGGAGTGAGACCAGGAAAACCTGTGTACCTAGTAGTAGCAAGGACATTCTGCAGTATTTTGCAGAATTGAAATCATTTCATACCCCTTATTTAATTGACCCACATTAATTTGTGGATCCTCCTTTTTTTTGGATAAGAAAACTGAGACTCAAAGAGTAATAATGCTTGACTGCTTTCAAGGCCACATACTGTACCTAATAAGTTGCAGAACCAAGGCTAGGTTCCAGGTCTTCTGATTTTCTAGAATCTAGGTCATTGGTTTTTTTTCGTTTTTTATTGTTTGTTTGTTTGTTCTTCTGCTGTATTATACCATTTCGTGGCAAGGTAGTTAATCTCTCTCCATTGTAGTTTCTTTTGATATAAAATTGGAAATATAGCCTCAGCTATATCCTCATAGTTTGGAAAAGGTTAATCAAATAGAGATGCTGAGTGAAATAAAAGGCATCTATTCTTGGTCTGTCTATTAGTTTTACAAGTTTGTTTTTTTATAATACCTCTTTCAAGGTACCACACGTCCAATCTTGTTTCTCTTGGGTCTTTACTATGTTACCCCCCAAAGCTTTGAACTGTAACTTTATGTAAAGTTTGAACCTAACTTTATAGAACGACTCTTTTTTTTTTTTTTAATTGGAGTATAATTGCTTTACATTGTTGTGTTAGTTTCTGCTGTACAATGAAGTGAGTCAGTTATATGTATACATATATCCCCTCCCATCTTGGACCTCCTCCTCCCACCCCCCAGTTCCTACCCATCTAGGTCATCACAGAGCACTGAGCTGAGCTCCCTGTGCTATACCACAGGTTCCCACTAGCTATCTATTTTAGACATGGTAGTGTATTTTTCCTCAGCCTATTTGAAACTCTCCGGGGGGTGTTCTGCATTGTCAGAGTTTTTCAGGGAATCTGTAGAGTAACAACTCACATTTTGTAGAGTAACAACTGATAAGTCCCTTGGGCCACCTAATAAGTTGGCCATGGAGCCAGTGTCAGACCCTGCTTCTGCTTAGCCTGTAGGGGACATATTTGATTTGCTTTAGTTACTTCCCAATAGCTAGTCAAAGGAAATGTTGTGGGGAGATTTTGAGCCCATAGGCATGGCCCCAAGTTTGGGAGTCATCTCTCAAGGAACTTACTGTAGCCAAGTCTAAGCCCTAAAGATATTGCTGCTGCTGCTGCTGCTCCTCCTAACTCTGGAACATTGCTAAGAGCAGCTAACTGGTGTCTGTTTCCCTATTGGGAGCATATTGATATAAGAATAGGCATTTGGTTCAAATTGAGAAGACTGTTGACAGCTCCTCTTAGAATCTTATGCTGCCGTGGGTATGCTGAGACAGTCCTGTGGGTGGGCTATGTCTCTCCTCATCCATACTCTCTTCAAGTCTTTTTTGGGATGAACAGTAAGATGAGTAAGTGCATTTGGCCAGTGTTTGAGGTCAGGCGTTTTTCTCAGACATTAGTGCAGTGGAGATTTGACCATTGCAAGTATTATATTTTAACCATTGAGCAAAAGAGTAGGAGTGGGGGCTTTCCTGGTGGCGCAGTGGTTGAGAATCCGCCTGCCGTTGCAGGGGACACGGGTTTGTGCGCCGGTCCGGGAAGATCCCATGTGGAGCCAAGCGGCTGGGCCCGTGAGCCATGGTCACTGAGCCTGCGCGTCCGGAGCCTGTGCTCTGCAACGGGAGAGGCCACAACAGTGAGAGGCCCGCGTACCGCAAAAAAAAAAAAAAAAAGAGTAGGAGTGAAATAATGTTTATTTTCTCATCTGGAAGCTGATGTTTCTCTGTTTTCTGTAATTACACACCAGCCTTTCTGCACATTTGGGGGGATGTGTCTAGGCCAGCATGAACTGAGCTGATATGAAGCTGACCTTCAGGGCCAAGAAAGCTTGTATAGGATCACCCTATAGGATTCAGAGGAAGTACTGTTCTCTTCATACATACTTCTTGCAGTCCTTTCACTCTGCTTAACTTGGTCTAAGTTTGTGTTCATTCATGTGTTTATTCATTTTTCTACTGTATTCCAGGCACCAGGGTATGTGCTGGGTATAGAATTGTGTACCAAATAAACAGTGCCTATCTACATAGAACTTGGTCTGTAGGGAAAAACAGATATTCATCAAGCAATCACATAAATAAATAATTACATATTGTGATAAGGGTCGTGAAGAATTACAGTGTAGTATGAGAGAGAATGTCAGGGAGAGGGATGTCACTTAGATTGGGGGGTGGAAGTGACATGTAAGCCAAGACCAATGGAAAAGGACTTAAGAGGCTAAGAGTGATGGGACGAGCATTCTATATAAAGGAGCATCTTGTGTCAGGGTTTTGAGGTAGGAACAAGTTCAGCACATTGAAAAACTGAAAAGAGACCTGTAGGGCTAGAAAGTGGCTGAGATGACACTAGGGAGGGGCCAGATCATGCAGGGCCCTTGAGTTCTAGCTGCACCTAAAAGTCTTTAGAACTGAGCTGCATCTCTGTGGCTGATGCTCTGATGGCAGATTTTTTTCCCCCAATATTCCTATGTCCTGTTAGTAGACTTATTGAAAGGCATGCTACTAAAATGCAGGGTAGGAAGAACACTACTCCTAAAAGTCTTCAGGAAAGCGCAGAAAAAGATTTGCTTTTTTTCTGCTCTTATTTATTTGACTGGAACCACCAGGTGAGCAAGAACTTTTTGGTGATGGCTCCATCTTCTGTATCTAAGTGTAGATTATAGTAGTTTGTACAGCCCTCTCTTTTGATTACTTGCTTTGTAGTTTATTTCTCCCATTAGACTGGAGCATCTTAATGTTAGGGACCTGTATTCCTGACACCCAGGAAGAAGTAAATTATTAATACACAGAGGGAGGTTTTTGCTTTCAGTTAGGAGGAGGTGAGTTGCATGTCAGGGCACGACTTGGAGAGCAGGGTCCCTGGTTGCCCCTTTGATTCTCCTTTTGTTGTGTATTTTGACTGTTCCCAGCTTCCTTACTTGATTTTTCTTCTCATCTCTGCAGGATCAATAAACCGAGAGCTGAGGATTCAGGCGAATACCACTGTGTATATCACTTTCTCAGTGCTCCTAAAGCAAATGCCACCATTGAAGTAAAAGGTACAAACCAACAGAGGCTGCGGTGTGAGCCTCTCACTCTGCTTCTGAGACACTGACTTGGTCTGGGCTTCCAGTCTTTGAGCTTTTCTTGTTTTCATAATGGGAGGCAGTATAATATTATGGTTAGGACTGAAGGGTCAGGAGCTCAACTGCCCGGGTTTAAATCCAAATCCCATCATTCACTGTGTGACCGTGGCGAGTTATTAACTTCTCTATGCTTCTGTTGCCTCATTTGTAAAACCTAACACGTGGCACATGGGTAGGTTAGAGGAATTAAATAAGTTAATATAGTAGGTTGAACCATATGAAATTTCTGTTTTTGTAGTTCAAAAAATGTTTCAATTTTGGTAGCTTCATAATGGTTCATCCTTAGGTAAAGCTCTTAGAATAGAGCCTTTGAAGTATTATTATGTAGGTATCTCCAGTGGGCCAGGATTTGGCAAAGTACAGTGTGCAGGGTGAATATAAACTCTTTGTAAGGTAATTCATTAGAATTGTAATAAAAACTCTGGGTGCCCGGCATCTTAAAGATGAGATTGTAGCTGAAGGTTGCAAGAAAGGCCAATAGAACTGTAAGAGTCAGAGCTGACTAACATTTAACCCAGCTTTCCTGTGTTATTTCAAAGAAGCAGTTGAGACCCAGAAAAGTGAAACCACTAGCTCTCTGTCACACAGTGAGTTTGTGGCAGAGCTAGCATAGAACCCAGGTCTTGACTCCCATCCCTATGTTTTTCCATTTTATAAAATGGCCATGGGGAGGCAGGGCTACTGTTTGAGGTCAGACTGAAGAGGTGAGGATCTTTTTTAGTCCTTTTCATTTTGCTTAGGAAGGACAAACTTGTTCTCTAAATCTATAGGGTGATCCCTAGAAGGTGGAAGGATAAATTTAGGAAATGGGAATGGCATATATAGCAGGTATTCAGATTTTCCTTAAAATATTTGGAAGACTAAAAATTCAGACTCAAGAAAATCTTAGACACAGTCAAAGTTTCTATTATATATTGTTACTAAAGGAAAGTAGTGTCTTGGTGACACTTGCCCTAACTTGTGTCCTTGTTGACATAAGGACGGCCAGTGCCTCCTCTAGTGGCCAGATTCGATTCTAAATACCTGAAGGGGTGGAGTCACAGTGGCATGGTTACAGTCCACACAGGCCAGAGAACCTAGGATTTGATTAACTCCGTGGCTTTTCTTGTAGAGATCTGGGTTTATCACTGTTTTTGAAGAGTGCCATATTTATTCAACATGAGGATGAAAGTGTGATAAAGCATTTTCTCTTAAGCCAGCCAAGGGCCCTGGATGAGCTGAGCTACGTGGGGAGACGTTTCACTCCTTCATATGAGATCTGAGGCCCTGCAACATTCCAGGCTAAGCTTTTGGCACAAAGTTCAAGTGCAGAGGGAATGGGATGGGTGAGGGAGGGAGAGTGTCTAGTGTCTAGTTAATCGAGGTCTCCAAGCCTAAAGGATAATTACATATAATTCGAAGTCTTGACTGACTCTAATCATATTGATCAAGCGTTAATGATTTCTAAGCAGCACTTTCAGGAGTAGAGAGAGAGTTATTTTTCCATTGGTTTGTCTGCTCAAGAAGGTGAAGTTCCGATGGCCCCAAAGGCATCTTTCCTCACATTCTCTTTAGCAAATAAGAAGTGGTCTGGAGGCTGCAGTCAGGAGTGTCTTCCGAGGAAGATACAACAGGCACAGTATCTCACCATAGTGAAGGCATGTACTGTGCTCTGTTGCATTTGTACTGTACAATAACCCTGTGAGGTGGATTGGACAGGTGGTATTAATATCTTCATTTTAAAGAAGTAGACCTTAAGAGAATTCTGTTTTATATAATCCTAAAACATATTCTGTGACTAGCTTGGGCAGATACGTTAGTCTGTCAAGAAAATTCATATGGAATTCTAGTCTTTCTTCCTTCTCTCCCCTGACACCTGGATAGAGAACAGCTGAAAACTTAATGTCTTTTAGGTTAGAGATAGTTTGGTCTGGTAAAGACTGAACACTTGGCTTTTCTTGTGTAAGTTTAGGAGGGTTTGCCATAGGCCCAGGATCACATTCTAAGCTAGCTCCCGATTATGGTTGGGGTAGAAAACTGCCTTGAATTTACAGCGGTATATGTGTTGTTCCCACAGCATTTTCATGTAAACTCTTGTTTCCTCAGTTCCTCTAGGGTGGGGTGAGAGACAGTTATCTTTTTATAGCTATAATGATTTAAAAACTCTGCTGAGTAATAGAGAGGCAAGAGGTGGTTGTACTCAAGAACAGAGAAATTCAGGGGATTCAGGAACATAAGTGATCTCTGCCAGAAGGAGTCTCTGAGAGTCTCCATTTGTGGTTTTAACTAAATTGACATTTCAAGGCAATATAATTCAGACCATACATACATATTTCTTTAGCACTTATTCTACACTCAGCCCTTTTCTTCCCCATCTGGCTTTCCCTGCAGTTGAAAACTTCCCTGGGGTGTTGTTTGGGCTCAGCACTGTGGGGAGTGAAGGTCTTAGACTAGCCAGAGACTGGGCATTATATGTCAAATGACTAAATCTTGAGTTACTTGTTATGTACAAAAGAAAAGAAGGCTGAAGGAATCAGAGGGAGGGACACATATCTGGGAACAGACCTGAGGTGGCAGTGCTTTTCCACCTTAGCCTGTAGATCCCCGTCAAGAAAGGAATTTTGAGGGTGGTCGTATGTACATGTGGTAGGGAAGGCCTTGCACCTGAAGTAAGGTTGGTTTGTTTTTTTCTTTCTCTTTTTTTAAAGGACAAGAATGAGGCACAGTATAAACAGGAAGATACTATTACTGTTGAGGATTACATTTCTTAGGTATTTGGCAGGTGACCTGAGCAGATGCTGGGGGAGGAAGATGGAGCAGGGCTGGCCAGGGGGAGAGGAAACAGCAATGACTAGACCTTGTGGGACCTCGGTCCTATAACCAGCCTCTCCAGGGATCTGCTTAGATAACTCTGGGGAGGCTTCTCTTTCCTTTTTGACTCCTCAGAGGTTGTGTCTTCTGGAGACTCCACACCTTACCATACAGCATTTGTGAAAGAATAGGTGTTGAATTTTCTATCCCTGTAATTATTCAACTTTTCTAGCCCTTAGTCCCTCCCTCTTCCTCTTCCTTTTCTAAAATTAAAAAATGTGCTCACAAAAACAAGTTAAAGTTTTCTATGTAATGGACAAATTTGAAAAGAAAATACCTCTCATGACTCCCAGACCCTATCCTCACCCTTCAATCATTTTGGTGACTCCAGTAAACAAGGAGTTTGAGTTTTATTGCTGTTTTTAGAAAAGGATTTTGGTGGTCAGCAAGTCCTCTGCGACAGACATGCCATTGCCGCTTGTGAAAGGTACATCCCAGCCCCAGGAAGGTTTGGGTCTGGTGTTTTATTAGGGCCATCATTATGTCTCCCTGCTCATTGGGCATTTCAATTGAATTTCAGTCTTTTGGTGGCTATGAGAGCCAAGATTGATCTTGTTTTTCTTCTCCCTACTTATTAGCTTTCTTGCTATTTGAATATTATGACTAAATGTTAGGATTTCTAGAAGTGACCTTGCCCTGCATCCCTGTTTCCTACTCTGTTGCATGGCCTTACAACTGATATATCAAAGTTCAGACTGGCTGAGGCGGACTGTATAGTGATGGTGACAGATATCATTATTAGGAGTAATAATACACCTCTCACGTTTGTACAGCACTTTCAGCATGCAGAGTGTTTTTGTGCTCATTTATTCGTTTGACGGGCAGCTAGTTTGACAGGTGGAGATGCTTAGAGGTTGTGACATAGTTTAAATTCGAGCTGATGTCAAAGCTGGTTCTGTCTCAGAATTACCCTGACTTGAAAAGTCTCTGAAAGCATAACAGTAATATCTTGAAGCTGCTTGAACATTTTGAACATGAACCATAGCCCAAATAACCATACCTGTTCCTTCTTTTCCTCTCTTCAGGGTGCTACTCTGACCTACCTTAATAAGAATAAGAACAGCTAACGTTACTGTGTGCTTATTACTATGTGCCAGGCACATTACTTGTCCCTTTCCTCTCCTGTAGTCTTCACAACTCTGAGGTAAATGCCATTATTATCTCCACTTTCCAGGTGAGAAAATTGAGGCTCCAAGGGAATTGAATGATTTGCTCAGTGTGACATAGTCAACCAGTGGGGCCAGAGCTCTCACCCAAGCACCCTAGTACCAGAGCCCATGTTCCTAAGCACTAAGCCACACCGCTGTGTTCAGCATATAACAGTGTTAAAGGTCTTGGACTGACAGAAGAAATGGGTTCTAATCCTGGCCCTGCCATTATAAACTTGCTGTGGCCCTGACCAGTCACTTTCCTTCGTTGGGCCTCAGATTCCCCAAGTGTATGATGAAGTAAGATGAGATAGATGATCTTGAAGGTTTTGTAAGGCTCTAAAGGTCTGTGGTTCCCTTATGTGAACACAGATGAGAAGTTGGGTTAGTGAAGGAAACGATTTCTAAGCTTCTTTTCCTAGTAATAGTGACTGTCAGGTTCTTAACTTTGAGACTGTCACCTCAGTGCCCCCCACACCTCCACGCGTTCATCTCCCTGTCTTATGAGACACTCCCTGTAGTCCCCTGATCTCAAACACTGATGCTAGGAAAAGTGTTAGAGCAGTGGTTCTCAAACTTGATTTAAGGTATATGAAATGTGGCCTAGGCATCAGGCTTATTAAAAGCACTCCAGATGATTATAGTGTACAGCCAAGGTTAGAATCATTCTTAGTGGAGACTTCAGTGCCTCTTACTCAGTGGTTTCACCTGCAGGAGAGGGAAAAGCCTCTTCCGCAGAAGGCAGCACAAGTCCCAGACTGCTCTAGTCTTTACAACCACTGATTAATCTATTCTGTATAATTATTGAGCCAAAAAGCCAACATCTTCCTTTTTCTAAAAAATATTTATTTATTTATTTGGTTGTGGCACGTGGGCTCCTTAGTTGTGGCAAGAGAACTCTTTGTTACAGCCAGC